TCATTTTTATGTCTTGTTCCATCCCACTTTGAGCCAGCAGTCCAACTTGACTCAAAGGATTGTTGTTGTAGGGAAAACCTGGTGGGTTAAAATTAGTGAGAATAGGATAAGCAACAGAGTCTGTGATATTAAGCAAGAAACCATTGAAAGTGTTAAAATATTTCCTGGAAGATTATTCTTGCAGCTGAAAATATCACAAAGAAATTCTGTGGAATAGACAACATCACCACTAGATGGATCTGACAAACGAGTAGTCCTCAATGGCACCACATCCACATGGAGAGAAGTAAGCAGCGGAGTACCACAAGGTTCCATATTACACCTAGTACTCTTCAATATCTTCATAAATGACTTAATGAGGAAATTGAATCAAATTTGTCATCAAATTTACAGATGACACCAAACTGACAGGAGTAGCCAACACCTCAGAAGACAAACTCAGGATCCAAAAAGATCTTGACAAACTTGAACAATGGGCCATATCTAAAAAAATGAGTTTCAATGTGGAGAAAAGCCAAGTTTTACATTTAGGTAGGAAAAATTAAAGGTACAAGTAGGGATTGGGTGAGACCTGACTCAAAATAGTAACTGTGAGAGGGACCTTGGAGTCCTAGTGGACGATCACTTGACTATGATCCAGCAGTGTGCAGCAGCAACCCAAAAAGCTAATATAATCCTGGGTTGTATAAACAGAGGCATAGAATCAAGATCATGTGAAGTATTAGTACCGCTTTATAAAACCCTAGAAAGACCACACCTGGAATACTGCAGCCAATTTTGGTCACCATATCACAAAAAATATGTTGAGAGTTTGGAAAAAATTCAGAGAAGAACAACTAAGATGATCAAAGGCCTGGAGACTAAAACATACAAAGAACGGCTGCAGGACTTAAGTTTGGCTAATCTAAAGAAAAGAAGAAATAAGGGAGACATGATAGCACTATTCCAGTATTTGAGAGACTGCCACAAAGAAGAGGGAGGTCACATTATTCACCAAAGTACCAGAGGGCAGGACAAGAAACAATGGTTGGAAACTGATCAAAGAGAAAAGCAACCTGGAATTGAGAAACTTCCTGACAGTGAGGACAATTAACCAGTGGAACAGCTTGCCTCCAGAAATCGTGGGCAGTCCATCACTGGAGATTTTAAAGAAGAGACTAGACAGCCACTTGTCAGAGATGGTATAGGTTCTCCTGCTTGAGCAGGGGGTTAGACTAGAAGACCTCCAAGGTCCCTTCCAGTTTTACTCTACTTTACTCTATTTAATATTTACTTGTATAAATTTAGTGAATCTTATATATACTGTAAGCAGCCTCCCCCCAATGTATCAGTCTTCAATTTTTGAGACTGTAGAAATGAACTTATGTGTTAGCATGGAAATCAGAAGAAATGCCCTCAAGTGGAAAAGACAAGTGAAAATCTAAGTCAGGCTGACCTCTGGTGGAGAACAGAAGGAATATCACATCTCTGCTAATGCAACTGTATAAAAATGAAATAAATGATGCATTATGCTGCACATGTGCACTGGAACAGTGGTTCTCAACCTTCTTAATGCCGCGACCCCTTAATACAGTTCTTCATGTTCTGGTGACCCCCCCAACCCCCCATCCAGCTGGCCGGGGGGGGGTATCAAAAACTTGACCAAAAAAAGAAAAGGAAAAAATGGGAAAGTATAATAGTAATAATAATAATAGTAGTAAAGTTGGAAGGGACCTTGGAGGTCATCTAGTCCAACCCCCTGCTCGGGCAGGAAACCCTACACCATTTCGGACAAGTGGCTGTCCAGTCTCTTCTTAAAAACTTCCAGTGGTGGAGCATTTACTGCTTCTGGAGGCACGCTGTTCCACTGATTAATTGTTCTCACTGTCAGGAAGTTTCTCCTTAGTTCTAGGTTGCTTCTCTCCTTGATGAGTTTCCACCCGTTGCTTCTTGTCCTGCCTTCAGGTGCTTTGGAAAATAGCTTAATTCCCTTTTCTTTATGGCAGCCCCTGAGATATTGGAATACTGCTATCATGTCCCCCCTTGTCCTTCTCTTCGTTAAACTAGACATTCCCAATTCTAGCAACCGTTCCTTATATGTTTTAGCCTCCAGTCCCCTAATCATCTTTGTTGCTCTTCTCTGTACTCTTTCTAGAGTCTCAACATCTTTTTTACATCGTGGTGACCAAAACTGGGTGCAGTATTCCAAGTGTGGCCTTACCAAGGCATTGAAGAGTGGTATTAATACTTCACGTGATCTTGATTCTATCCCTCTGTTAATGCAGCCTAGCACTGTGTTGGCCTTTTTTGCAGCTGCAGCACACTGCTGGCTCATATTTAAGTGATTGTCTACTAGGACTCCGAGGTCCCTCTCACAGTTACTACTATTGAGCATGGTGCCACCTATGCTGTACTTGTGCATTTGGTTTTTCTTGCCTAAATGTAGAACCTTGCTTTTTTTCACCATTGAATTTCATTTTGTTAGTTAGTGCCCAGTGTTCAAGTCTGTCCAGATCCTTCTGTATCTTAAGCCTGTCTTCTGGAGTGTTGGCTATTCCTGCCAGCTTGGTGTCGTCTGCAAATTTGATGAGTTCCCAATCTATCCCTAGGTAATCCTCGACTTAGAACAATTCGTTTAGTGACTGTTTGAAGTTACAACAGCACTGAAAAAGCGAATTATGGTCATTTTTCACACTTATGATTGTTGCAGCATCCCCAGGATTATGTGATTTACATTCGGATGCTTGACAACTGATTCATACTTATGACGTTCAGTGTCCCAGGGTCATGTGATCAATGGCCAGGGGGCATGGCCAGCTGATCACTCAGGTTGCAGAGTGCCTGTGGGGGGGGGGAAATCTGTGGGTCTCTGGGTTGGGAGTGGGGTGGGTGCCTGCCTTCCTTCCTCCCTTCTCTCCCCTTGTCCCTTCCTTCCTTCTTTTCTTCCTTTTCTTCACCTCCCTTAGTCTCTTTCTCCTTCCCTCCCTCTCCCTTTGTCCCTTCCTTCTTTTTCTTTCCTTCACCTCCCTTAGTCTCTTCCGCCTTCCCTCCCTCTTTCCCATTGTCCCTTCCTTCTTTCCTTCCTTTCCTTCACCTCCTTCTTAGTCTCTTCCTCCTTCCCTCCCTACCATTGTCCCTTCCTTCTTTCCTTCACCTCCCTTAGTCTCTTCCTCCTTCCCTCCCTTTCCCATTGTCCCTTCCTTCTTTCCTTCCTTTCCTTCACCTCCTTTAGTCTCTTCCTCCTTCCCTCCCTTTCCCATTGTCCCTTCCTTCTTTCCTTCCTTTCCTTCACCTCCTTCTTAGTCTCTTCCTCCTTCCCTCCCTCTCCCATTGTCCCTTCCTTCCTTCCTTCCTTCCTTTCCTTCCTTCTTTGTCCCTTCCTTCCTTCCCTCCCTTTCATTGTTCCTTCCTTCCTTCCTTCTCTTTGTCCCTTACTTCCCTCCCTCTTCGTCCCTTCCTTCCTCCCCTCCTCCGTGCCCAGGAAGGAACAAGGGGAGGGGGATGGCTGCCAGAGGCAGAGGAGAGCTCTGCCCAGCTCACTTGCTCAGCTTCGCCAGAAAACAAGCCACTTGCTAAGTTAGCAGAAGCCCCAGAATCAATGCCGGGCTACAGCTGATTCGCGCGTTGGCTAAATTAGCAAGCTAGCAAAGCTCGAGCAACTTTGCTGGGTAGAAGCCAAGGAGAGCTGCTACAGCTGACCTGCTTCTTAGCTACTCTGCAAAAGCGCGGATCAGCTGTAGAGGTTCACCCCGATCCTGGACAAGAGGGAAGGAAGGAAGGGTGGAAGGGACAAGGGGAAAGAGGGAGGAAAGGAGGGACAAAGAGGGAGGCGAAGTAAAGGAAGGAAGGAAGGAAGGAAGGAAGGAAGGAAGGAAGGAAGGAAGGAAGGAAGGAAGGAAGGAAGGAAGGAAGGAAGGAAGGAAGGGAAGGACAAGGGGAAAGAGGGAGGGAAGGAGGAACAAAGGGAGGCGAAGGGAAGGAAGGAAGGAAGGAAGGAAGGAAGGAAGGGACAAGGGGAGAGAGGGAGGGAAGGAGGAAGAGACCAAGAAGGAGGGAAGGAAAGGAAGTTCCAGCCAGGAAAGGCTTGTCAGCCTGGCTGCCAAAAAACAGAAGAACGCAAAGCCAAGGAGAAGGTGGTGGCGGTTTCCTCTCAAAGGGGGCTCTTTTTCTCCACCTCTTCCCTGGGCTTGTGGGGAATTTCTCGTCACCAACGATGACAGGTGCTGCTTCAAGCCCGCCGCGAGCTTTCTCGCCCCCTTTGCTTCTCCCCCCTCCCCCACTTTTGTGAGGATTGTGGCACCCTTGGGAAGCCGATTGTGCTTTGAAGCTTAGGAGAGGAGGAGGAGTCCCTTCCTCCTTCCCTCCCTCTCTCCCTGTCAAGCCCCGGCGGGCTCGACATGAATGGGCGGAGGAGTTGAGGACAGGCGGGGTGGCAAAGGAGACTGGCGGCTGTCGCCAGACCTCCCGGCTGACAAGTGCAAGTTCGGGGGTCGCCAGCTGACAGGCGCAGGAGTTGGGTGCTGCGGCGGCCTCCCCTTCACTGACCTGCATGCACGAGAAGATGTCAATCCGGTTGCTGCACAATGAGTCTCTGGAAAGGGCGGGGCCTTGCTCTGCGCCTGTGCTCTTCATGCGCCCCCTGCAGGGCACATTTGGTAGAGTTCGTGCAGACTGCCAACAAGCGGCATATTTTCCACAAACAAGTGAGGTGGAGCAGTGGGGGGGAGGGAGAGAAGGCGGTTGACAAGCCCTGCCCAAGACCATTGGAAATATTTTTTCTGATGGTCTTAGGCGACCCCTGTGAAAGGCTCATGCGACCCCCAAAAGGGTTGCAACCCACAGGTTGAGAACCACTGCACTGGAATATTTACAACAAACCCAAAACTTTGTGGTTTTGCACTTCTAGCACTGTAGTGAACACGACTAAGAAAGGATGACATCACCTAAAGATGTCATATCAAGTCTCAATCTACAAGGATTAACGCATCCTCCTCAGTCTCATAAATACTAAATCTAAACAATTTGACAGAATAAGACTCTTTATTTTCCTATTAAAGTCTTTCATCCTGCTCATTTATCATTTAAAAAAACAATGTTTTCCTTTTTTTTCGTGTACAATGGAAACAAAACACCCTAAGTCTCTTTTTCAATACAAATTTTCCTAAGCAGGAAGTACACTGAATATAAATTTCTTACTGCAAACCACTGAAGGCTGGGTCAGGAAATAAAGCCAGGATAATTGATATAAAATGTTAACTAAAATCAACGTGGAAATCATTAAAAGTATAGAAATGCTTTTTGAATAAAACTGCATTACTTTTCTTAATGATTTTTCCATAGCCCCCTTACAGGTACATGGGCATGTGCATCTCCCTTTTAAGCTTTCTAATTTTATCACTCAGTTCTCCGGATCAGGAAATTTTAATCTATCCACCCGTCATTGTGTAGAGTACTAGAGGATCCAATTAGCATTTGAGATTCCACACCATGATTTATCACGCTAGCTTGTAGGGAGCCTTGACTGCATCCCCATGTACATATAGGAACTGCAGAAGACAACTTACATACACCAGTGTTCCCTGCAACTATATTATTCATTCCTTGTTGCAAGTAGACATTATGTATCTCTAACACAAACACAACTTTTCCTTGCACATACCCCACTTTATGTGCAGCTGAACATACAGTGTTCTGCTGTACTCACTAGATCTGCTCTCTATTCTGGATAGCCTGGGGAAACAATCCAAGTTTCTTTTCAGATTATTTCTTAATAATAAACAGTGCTATAAATCCTGCTACTGCTCCCAGATCTCTCCTGCAATTGGTTCCAATGAAACAAAGCTGCAACTGTGCAAAAAGAACTTGACCGATGCCTTTAGGATTAGACCGATTATTCCTATAATCAAATGAACCATAGTGATCCTGCTGGTTGTGAATCCTTCCTGAATAAAATTCAAGTCCTTATGGCTTGTTGGGTTCATCAGGTGATACATTTAAGGCAGGTTTTGTGCTCTTATTGGATTGTTTCTGGGAGCGTTGCTTCTTTGGAACTTCAACAGCTGCTACAGGTTTTTGTAGCGGTTCATCATTATCTTCTTTTACTTTCTTTACCCTAGTTTTGCTTTTGACAGGGTTAGAGAATGTAAGGCAAGTTTTGTTGAATTCCATGGGGAAAATTCCCACATCTCCATCAAAGCGATTCTTGGAGACCTGTAGGTAGCGCCTGCCTGGTCCTGAGGTTAATTTCCTATCCTGCAGGATCAACACATTGTCAGCCTCCTGGCTGGCCTGCAACAGAAAGCAAAACACTATGAGTAGAACAGGGCAGACAGAAGGATTGACTGACTGGATGGTGGATGTGTGGGAATTTGCCTAGTTCCTTGGAAAACTTTACCAAGAAGGATTTACCTTTGCAGATCCAAAAATGGAAGATGTTTGCAGCTCTCTTTCTTCATCTTCCTTCCGGGGATGAATGATCAGAGTTACATGGCAGTTGTTGTCTGTAGCAAATTTTCGGAAGGTACCCACAATGTAGTCTTGGAGGGCAAGCCTGGGAAGCAATAGGGCAGTATAAATAACACAAATTGCTGTAGAAGTTCATGGATTATCTGAAAAAAATGTGTTTGTCTTTCTCGGTGAACAAACAGTGTTAAATTGACAAGAGTGTACAAAGCAGGTATTTAACACTCATCTTTAGTACACACCCTGAAAAGTGATGGCATTAAAAGCTATGTCAATTTAGGTCAGAACAGGCATAATGATCCTGAGCAAATGTTTAACTATGAATAAGCATCTGGAAACAGGATCATGGGATTTGCACATTCTCTTCTCATGTCTCTCAAGGCAGCTTGCAAAATGTGGTGGACAGAGCAAAAGAAAAGGAATAATGTTGTAAAGTGTGATTCTATGCTAAGGAAACATGAAATGAGAGGATTACCGGTCTATACTGAGTTGCTCCTGGCCCATCATAAACTGGAGATTATCAATGACAACATGAGTAATATCATACATGTACACAGCATGGAGCATGGTATCAATTACTGTCCTGCAAGAAAAAATTATCAAAGTTACACACGTGTAGAGGTTACTTTACTTTGCCATTCCTAGCTAGGGAGAGATCAGATCAATTTCAAATGAGGAGTTTTTAAACAGAAAAATTTGCTGCAGATTAAAACATGTCCGCAGTCTCAATTAATTCAGAGCAACAAATACATTTATAAAATTAATGACTAAATAAGTTATCTTAAAACCCTCAGAATCCTAGGAAAAATAATTTTATTAATAGCAATCAGAACAAAGAATGAGGAGCTAAAGAACTTCTCTGAAATATTCCTTTACACATTGCGATATACAATTTGTATCCTGCATTAAAGGAAACCACATGATATTGCATATCTAAGGGGAACCAATTGCCCTAATGTAAAATAGTGTACTCACTATATAATTTGAGACCAATCTCAATATTTGCCAGGCAAAGGGTGCTTTGTAACACTCACCACTGAATCTGTACTAGAATGATCTGTGGATTTTCTATCATACTGTCTTATCCAAAATGAGGACATAATGATGGTTTAGCAAAGTAAGGGGATGCAATTTCCAGACTAACAAACATTACATAGAGCTAGTTAATTTAGTCTTACTTTGGCCTTACTACCAAATATTGCAACATATTTTTTTCAAGGATATGTATACAGTAGTATTTCGGTACTCAATTGCTTCAAAATTCATCAAATTGGTACTCGACATATTTGATGCAAAATGGTATTCAACATGCTGTGATAGGAAAAGGGAGGAAATGGACAGAAAGTTGGCCATGGTGAGCAGGTCAGTGACATAGGAAAAGGGACAGACAGGAAGTCCTTCCCAGCAAAAATAAAGGGTCACATGTTTGCTTGGCACTCGTTATTTTTAGTACTCGTTGCGCCTCCCAAAACCAATTAACAATGAATAGCCAGGTACCACTGTATTTCTTTCGGAATTATGGATATTTCCTGCCAATTAAACATAATTAAAACTGCAAATTCAGCATTACATTAATTATAGCACTGTTTCACCTCTACTGTCTCATAAAAAAGCAATAACCCATGATATACAAGTAGAAAGCTGCTACCACAAATTTTACTTGATGTTCTGTTGTCCGTAGAAGATCATGAAGTGAAGTGGAAGATCCTCAAATTTGTCTGCCCACTCATCATATTTTTCCAGTTGCTCATCCAGTTTTTCCATGGCAAATTGAGTAAGCATGATCTTGGCCAAACGTACATTGTGGATCTCAAAGCTGCCCCATAATGTATTAACCCCTTGCATGCAGAGATCCAGGGCATATTCACTTATGAAAGTGGTCTTCCCACTGCCTGTTGGACCTGATCCAGAAAGACAAAGGCACAATTAGTAAGAAAGGCAGTTTGATCCAACTTATGTAGAATTTGGTTTCACCTGGAACAAACTGACATGTCCTTTCCTTTGATGGGTAGCTGCATTGGCTACTCCTAGGTTCTCTGTGGTTAAGAAATGCAAATGGGGAACTATGTCACAACACAATATTTTTCCCATTGAATGTAACATCCCACTTACCCATTACAACAGATGATTTGACCACTATTTAGTAATGTAATAAAAATCATGCTTGCAGATATAGATCAAATCTCCCATAGATCGCTTTTGTTGAACAGTGCATACAGAATCACAGAATTGCAGTAAGTCAGAATCTCATTTACTTTCATCTTCACTTTTGCCAGAATTGAAAACATGCAGGAACAAGTCTGGCAGAATGCATCCATGAATGCCAACTGGCAGTAAAAAGGCATGACAAAAATTCTTTAATTTCACAACATATAGGCAGATTTAACCATAGTTTCAATTGGGAAAAATGTGACAATCCTAGACTAGGCCAAATCCAAAAATGCCAGGAAATCTCTAGAAGCCTGGCACTCTGACAAATCAGCCATCAATAGACACATAGATATTAACAACTATGCAAAAGAGACAATCAACCAGCCCCAAAAAGAAAAAGTCTCCAGCACCTCTTCAGCAGTAATCAGCACTCAGATCAGCATAGATTAACTCTAAGGTCAACTTCAGACCAACAATCAAGTAACTGCCAAAGAGCCATTAGTAAACAGCTCAATCAAAGAATCCTTAAGATTGCCCCCACCCAGACAGACAGGCAAGGCACCAAAATATAAACTGACAGCAAACAGCACTCCTTAGTACCTTAGTACTGATGTTACCTAGTTAGGGTAATGAACCATCTGCAGAAAACAAACAAGCTGAGAGAGCACCAAGGACCCTTCAATTGGAAACATGCACAATTTAACTTAAGAAAAAGGAGCACAGAAAATAAATGTATTTTAGACATCTCCAATGCCTCCTCCCTTTTGTTTCTAGTAATAATCACTTTATTAAGTAAATTGTTCTTCTCCAGACAAAAATATTGTACGGGAGCAGAAAACCATGACAAACTGGTTTTCAGATCATAAGCTATATCTGACAAGTAAGCCAAAATATGACAAACAGCTCAAGAACATTGCAGCAAATATTTTAATGATTACATATGCTGTTGGAGGAAGGATGAAAGGAAAAAAGCAATATATTGTTGCCTTGAGTTATTTATAAAAATAATAAAAGCAGGACATAAATACATAAGTAAATAAAATATACACTCACCTGTGAAAACAGTGAGCTCTCCTTTGCGGTGGCCTTTGAGAAGTTTGCTCAGTTCTGGGAAACGAGCCCATTTGACTCCGGCCACTTGATCTACATTGACCAGCTCCCCATACACCTCTTCTCGCAGTTGACAAAATGAAATTATAGACTTGTGGCCAGCTGGTAGAGCTGAGCGTAGAATCTTGGTAAGATTCATACCATTGCTAAAAGCTTCTAAAGGTCGACGCTGCTGGTCACTTGGTCGCACCAAATAACAACGCTTAGGATTTAGCTTACGTGCAAAATGTTTAGCAGATTCCCAGGATCGGAGATCCTCTCCTAACCATAAAGTAATCCTTTTAAACTGTTCTAAGTAGGGAAGTAAGGCTGGGGGGAGACAAGAAATCCCACGAGGCAAAGCCAGGGTGGGTAAACCAGTGACTTGATGCAACACCAAAGCATCCAACTCTCGGCCAGTCAATACCACTTCTGTATCACGCCGACTGATCAGAGGCAAACCAAAGAGATTGTGATAGACATTCGGACGAGGCAACATATTCTCTACATGGTGTACTCTATCTCCTTGGTGCTCAGCTCTGAGAAGTTTTAATCCCTTCAAGCTGGTGCCAGAAGGACTGAACCATGGGAAGACCAATGCTTGAGCGGTCCGAAGAAAACGCACCCCAAAGTGTTTGAGGGTGATATTTGACACACTGGAAATGCCAAACATAGCCTTGACTTCCTTTGTCTCCTGTTCATCCAGCAATTCCCAAAGAGGCAAAGCTCGGTCCCATATATGCCTAGCATCCTCCCCACTTTGGTCATTTTGCTCATTAATACTGTGCCTATCACTTAAAGTTAGCCCTTTATCCTGCAGCTCTACATTAGCCTGGAAATCTTGCCAATTCCCTTCGACCAGTGTGGCCGTGCAGATAAACTGACCGGTAGTCTTATCAATAAAGAGGCTGTAATTATGGCGAAGCTGCTGTTTATCCTTCACAAAAATACTGGGCACATGAATGCAACTGTAGCCATCGTGAAATGGGATTTTCTGCGTTTTGAGGTACTGCCGGATCTCCGTGACCGAGGCAGGAGGAATCGGGTCCTGCACGGGCGGAAGCTTTTCCTTTTTGTAGTGCTTACAAGGAGCGCTCCCAACAAGCATCCACTTACGTGGAAGGCACCGGTGACGCAAGAGAACCCGTGACGTCACAGAGAACATTTTACCCGTGTCTGCAACGTCCCTCCTCTTAGCTCCTTCATGGGATCACCCTGGGACCTCCTCGCTCTACGACCCTACAATGCGGTCTCCTCAGTGCCCCGACTGCCGCCCCGTGGAAAGCCCTTTTTTCTCCTTAAGAAACGCTTTCCACCCTCCGAGAAGCGAGAGCCTGCCTTTCCTAAATTGCACCTCCCCTTAAGAGCCTTCTATGCCGCTGCCCTCCTTCCAGCTTGCGGTGAAGCTGCCCACATCCAGACCGCCCGCCTCTCTCCAGCCAGCGCTGTCTGTCCTGCTAAAAGGCCTCCCCTCCGGCCGCAGCCTGACCGCACAGCTTGGCCCCCGCGTCTAGCTCCACATCAGGGGATCGGTTCCCCACGTGCTGTTCCAGAAAGCACGCCATGATCTTCCTTCAAAACCAACACTTCCCAGAGAGGCGGGGACAGGAATCAACCCGGAAACAAACGACCGGCTCGGCGGAACATACAGACTTCGCACCGTAGAGATAATACGCCTCTCCCCTGCTCGTCTTGTTGCAAGAGCGTTTTCTGACTTTCAGGCCCAAATTGCAGAAATTCGAAGGCCGCAACAAAGAGTTAGAGCTGTTGGTGTCTGGACATTGTTGCAGCCTTATTAAGACCGTCATAACCTAACCTCAGCCACACATGCAAATCCTTCCTGGCGGTTTCTATTTGTGCATCATACAAACTATGCATCATGCAAACTATGTTACATTGCAATTTTAAAATAGATGCTGACACCCCAATAATTTTCTTTTGTCTTGCGGGAATAAGGTGGAAGCAACATACCAGGCAACTTCTGCGACGGAAAAACCTGGAATTTCTCTACATTTCTTGCGAATTATTATCTCGCAGAAAAGGTGGAGGAGGCTTTAAAAACAATTGCCGTTCGACTGGCACAAAAAGAGAGAGAGAGAGAGAGAGAGAGAGAGAGAGAGAGAGACTGTATGCTAGACAGGCGCCAACTCTGTTGCTTCCTGCTTCACTTCCTGTTCCGCTTCTGAGTTCCGGTGTGCGTTGCGTTGCCACCGACGATGACCGGCCGGGGTACCCCGAGCCGCTTCTTGGCTAGTGTCCTGCGGAACGGCGTGGGCCGCTATGTGTGTCAGCTGCAGCGCATCACCCTGACGGTCAGCCAGCACTTGTCGAACTCGCTGGGCGCCAGGTGGGGAGAAGAGAGGCGCTGCAGCAGGCGGGCAGCCGGGCCCGTATGTCTGCAAAGCTTCGGAACGGTCCGGATTCATTGTTAAGCAGTGCAGGTGTTAAAGCAGGGGTCTCCAACTTTTAAGACTTGTGTTGAAGTCCACAAGTCTTAAAAGTTGCCAAGGTTGGAGACTCCTGTGTTAAAGTGAGACAATAAAGATGATTAGGGGGCTGGAGACTAAAACGTAGTCGTAGATGAAGAACGGTTGCAGGAATTGGGTATGTCTAGTCTAGCGAAAAGAAGGACTACGGGGTGACATGATAGCAGTGTTGCAATATTTGAGGGGTGTCATAAAGAAGAGGGGTCCAACCTATTCTCCAAAGCACCCGAATGCGGGACAAGAAGTGATGGATGGAAACTAATCCAGGAGAAAAGCAACCAAGAACTAAGGAGAAATTTCCTGATAGTGAAAACAATCAGTGAAATGACTTACCTCCAGAAGTTGTGCATACTCCATCACTGGAAGTTTTTAAGAAGAGATTGGACAACCATTTGTCTGAAATGGTATATGGTCTCCTGCTTGAGCAGGGGGTTGGACCAGAAGACCTCCAAGGTCCCTTCCAACTCTGTTATCTGTTATTTGCTTCCTCCTTCCTGATGTTTGACATTGACTCCTAGCTTCTTAGGAACAAGAAGGGGAAGCCCTGGCCTCCATTCTGTGCCACAATGGCTAAGCCACAGCTCCAGTTAATTGTATAAGTATTTTACTTATATTGCAGCTCCTGTTTTTCTCCCTCCCTGTTTGATTTAATATTAGCATCCAAAGTAATATCTTTGATCCCAACATGTAATAGAACTGGACAATATTGCTATATTCTGTTCTTCACTTGACCCAATCTAAATTATTTTCATACAGCAATTAAAGGTATTTTCAGTAAAGGCAGGATTGAACAATCATGGCCAAAATTCACAAATAAAAGCTAGACAATCTAATATTCAGTAAATTATTTGTACTGTTAAGTCTCCTGTACAAGTTTGTGAAATGCTTACTCTAAATATAGGCATCTGGTACATTATTTTTTTTAACAAATGAAATTATTTATATAACTTGGTTCATTTATACTATGATGCAGAATACCTGTCACTCGGGTCTCCCTCTTTGCCTGCTTCCACTAGTGCTGGATTTGGTGGACTTTTCTCTTAAGGGGGTTCTCCAATCAAAATAATTTTATAGAAAAGTCCTATGTCCAAGTAGACTTCATTGCTTCAGCAATGTAATCCCTTGCTTGATTTAAGTGTATTTTTTAAACTCCTCAATGCAAATATTTTTTGTCTGGTTGTAGAGAATACGTTGAAGAAAAGATAGTGGACTTTGCAAGGCAGAATCCTGGGGTTGTGGTTTATGTAAACCCAAAGAACTGCAGGATCCCCACATTGGTTGCTGAATACTGTGAGTATGGAATGTAGTACAGAAAAAAACCAAATAGAGAATAATCTGTTTTTTACTGCTATTACCCAAGAAATCTGCTCCTTATAATCTTTTAGGAGGTTGCTCAGCTCCCTCTTAAAACATAGTCAAGATGGTTTTCTCTTTATCCAAGCCTTATGAGTTGAAGTGATCTAATTGTTTCAATGAAAATTTGAGTGTCATGTTAAGCCAGTGTGGGCAGAAGGATTATAAATATGGAAAACTAAGTAAATAAATCAAGCATATGGGTGTTCTTTCAATAAGTTTATGTAAGTACAGAGACCTTCATTTTCTTGAAAAACAGTCGTCAGTAAAGCTTGGCTTCTATCTATTACTATCTATTCTACCTATCCCCAATATGACAGATATATTAAGACTGGAATTCCCAATATTCTAAGACAGCAGGTCTTCTGACCCTGCAAGAAAACAATATTGTGAGCTGCAGTCTGAAGAACACCTTGATAGAAATAATTAAGTAGAAATGACTGTATCTTTATTAGAAATTCCAAACAAGCTAGTTTACATCATTAAAATGTAAAATTACAGAGATTGAGGAATTGGAAAACCTAGCTATCCAGACAAACGTGTCTTCTAAGATGGAACAAGTTTTTACATAAGTTTTCTTTCTAGTGAATGGAACTGTGAAGGAGGAGCCTTTAACCAGCAAGACAGTAGAAGAGATTGCAGATATCGTCCAAAAGATGGCCAACCAGTCTGGCCTAGAAATTATTCGTATCCGAAAACCTTACCATACAGATAACCCCAGTATCCAAGGCCAGTGGCATCCTTTCACAAATAAGCCCAGTGTGCTCAATGTGCAAACCATAGGAGCCAGACTCCAGTCACTGGAAAAATAAAGCTATGCTGTATAGCTTATGAACATGAGGATCTCCTGCACGCAAGAAATCATTATTTGCTTCCTTCCTTACCTAAGAAAGTGGATACTGAAGGGAAGTGACTGACTTGTGGCTGCAAAATGAACTATTTCTAAATAAATTCTACTATTGGGCAGTTCTGGACCTGCATGGATATGCTAGTAGCCTTCTTCCCATTGTACTTTGCAGTTTAATTCTTACTGAAAATAAAGGATGAAACCTAACTTACACTGGCTCATCATTTCTTTAGACCAGAGATGGGAAGCTTGCAATCCATGGGACCTTTCTTCCCTACTTAACAGTTAATTTTAAGATACAGGTAGGCTTATTGCAAGGGGTTCATGGTTCCTGTTTTGAACACTCTTTTCCAGGTTTCTCAGATTGAAGTAGATCTTTTATTAACTCCAATTAACAAACCAACTGTGTCTTTTCCTGAAGAAAGTGACTGTAAGTGTATATACCAGTAACTCCTAGGCTTGATTCATGTAACGCATTATACATGAGGCTGTCTTTTTGCATGGTTTAGAAAATAGTACTCAAGAGTCTAGAAAGTCTGAAAAGATTCAAAGAATGTATTTGGGCTACAATTTTTGCATTGACTACCAATTTGTTTCCAGGTGAAATACACCGTGTTGCTTAGTATTTTTAAAACCAAGTATAATTTCAACTAGGCTATTTGAGAGAAGGCTTGTGCAAAACATTTTGTACAGAAGCCTAAATAGACTTAACATGGGAAGAGGAGTCATTGCTAGATAAATATATATATGTAAATCCCTTTTTTATTTTTAGAAATAACTAAAGGTGATGAACATAACCCAGATAACATTCCTCCTCCTATTTCCCCCACAACAATCCTGTGAAGTGGGCTGAGAGTGACTGGCCCAAAGTCACTCAGCTGGCTTTGAAGACTAAAGTAGAACTGAACTCACACATTTGTGAGGGTTCAATATACACTTGCTTCAATATACTGTATATCTTGGTGTTGCAATCAACAATTGCAGCATCAATTTGAGCGTAAGATTCAGTTGGTGAAACAAACTCCCACAAATTTGTATTGTTGGCCCCAATTTATTCAGATTATTTAGTGAATTTTCTATTGAACAATTTGCCCTTTAAGAAATTATCAATATGTTTACTAAGGAAAATGTCAGAATAGGGTTTATGTCAAAGCCACTATTATTTGTTCTTAAAGGCTGACATGTATTATCAAACCTAAATTAGTAAAAACCTTTTTATATATTTTTTTAAAAAGTATCGGTATGATTACAGAAACATGAAATGTACAGACTTCTATATTTGCTACATCTTTTAGATGCCAGATAATCTCTCAGTTCTCTACCAGATCAAGTGATGGTCTGTGGTTGGCATCAGATTTTCACTGGTGAGCAGGACTGACTAATTCCAAAAGGATTTCTTGAAATGCTTAGTTGAGTAAATGCAGATCCCCCCTTTTTATAAGGGGACAAAAATTCCTCACTATCCAGAGAACCTGAGTAGATTGTGAGGTTGGAGTGAGATGAACTTCAAGACTAGAGATAGAAGAATGAAAAGCAATGGGGAGGATCAGTAGAGTATATTATATATATCAAAATATCAATATGCTTATATAAATCTATGACCTGGTACTTTAGAATATAATAGAGTTTGGTAGGCTTGTTTTGAAAGGATTATTGTCAATTTGAAAGAAGTACTTTTAAAGTACTTTAAGGGAAGAATTTAGTGGTCTGCTCATACAAGAAAGGAAGAAAGAGATGAAGTATTTTTATTTTTTTGTAAAAGAAAGGTATCAATACTTCCTGATTAAGTTGCAGGGTGGTAACATTTCCATTGTAGCTGCAACAGAAGTGAAGACATTTTGAAGCTCGCCATTTTTCCATCATGGAAACTATACTCGGTAACTTTTGCTGTCAGTGTTTTGGATGCTCTAAGACAGGGGTCTTAAAACTTGGCCTTTTTATGATTCTGGGAGATGAAGTCATAAAAGGGCCAAGTTTAAAGACTCCTGCTCTAAGATCTTCAAGCTGATTGTTAAGGTTTCATTCAGATGGTCTTTAACAAAGTTGCAGTACAAAAATACCGTTGTATGGTCTTTAGCTGTACACATTATCATTAAGTAACATAACAGAAAAGTTTAATGTGGCCATAAATACTTTAAGCAATTTTTGAGTGAGCTGAACAAAACAAGAGCTATTAATGAGTTTCTTAGAGATATCTTAAATATAGCTGGAGCAAGTAAACTACAGCATATATTGAAGTATCTACGTCAAATGGTATGTAGAAAAGACCATCAAAAACATGATTATCACAATAATGGTATTCTTAAATGCTCATATTGATGTCTTAGAAATCCTAACACCACCCTATATATCTGGAGTGATAGAGATTATTTCTGATTCAGATTAGATTTGATCAAAATTGAAAATAAAATGTTCCTTTCTATCATTGAAGTCACTTTTTCATTAGCAAATTCTTCTTTTCTCACTCCATAATGTAGATCCTCACTCATTCATATTAGAACAAAGGCAGCTCTAGATGACTTTTGGATAGTTTTGGGAAAGTCTTTCACCATCCTTCCAAATGTGTTAGAATACAACCCCATATTTATAGCAAGTACAGGGAATGGTTTCTTGAGCATTCTACAGCCAACACATTTAGACTGTACCATGTTGTGGTGTCATAGAAACTCTTAAGGTGGCTGGAATATTGTGAAGGAGGAGACCCTTTGCTATAGCGTTTATTGGTGTTTATTTCTTTGGTGAAATTTTTATTGCAGTTCTAATTCATTGCCATGTTGAGAATGAGATAGGTGGTACCTAAATGTGATCAATAAACAAAAATATTTCATCTTTTGTCAGTCTGGTGTAATTTTTTTTATCATTTTACTGATGACGATTTTGTAAACCACTTTGAGTCTCCATCAAGCAGAGCAACATATTAACCCAAGAAGATAAATAAAATATACTTCAGTGTTCTCATGCTCTATATTAGGCATAAGCAGCTTTGTCTCATAGAGTTTGGCAAATGTCACTCTTTCTCTCATTATACTAAATCCAACTGAGAAAATATTCTGTGTGGTAGATTTTAGAAAAGATATGCCTTAATATCAAGATGTAAGCATCTATTCTTGCACCCCACTAAATTCAAAATTTACATATTTTTCTATGAATGAGAGAAGGAATAAAAGAAGCTTTCCACTTTGAAGGAAACAGAAGAAAGTTCATATAGATAAGTAAAAAAGTACTGTAACCCAAATTTATCTAAGTAGCTCTGAGACAAATGATGACAAATGAATTCTGACCTTTTACTCTGTCTTAGAAAGGTGCCATTCAAAACTTGTAAGTTAACCTTTAATGGGCATAAAGTTTGTTTAAATGTACTTTATGGCCACTAGAATTTAAATACCAGGCTTTGTAGCATAATTCCCCAGTTGCTCTTGTCTGGGAGCGCCCTACAGCCCTCTAGATGTAGCTGAATTACAATACTCAGTACTTCTCTTTCCCGGCCTTGTGGGCTAGTCCACTGAGAGAAAGATCAGAGATGACCTATTCATTGACTATGCTGACTCTGGTCAACAACTATAAGTATAAACTGAGTGTGCAAAATAGAGAACAAAACAATAATGCCTAAAGTTATTCATGGTAAATCACATTTAAGGAGGATTTCTCTATCACCATTCATGATCACAATTCACCTTAAGAACAATTTAAATGCAGTTCTCATATTAAAAAAAATTCATCAAAGTTTTGCTACCAATTTCTTAAAATCATAGTTAAGCCTTCATTTCTTACTAAGACTCCTGGCTGGCAGGATTCTTGTTAGGAAATTAATGGCACTTTCAGAGATGCCTCATGATGGAAGGAAGTAGGAGACAACCAGACAAACCCAACACATCTCTGTGGCACCTGTTTATTGATCAGCCTTTTATATAAATATAATTCCCATTTAAACAGATTTCTTTGTTTACAGCAATTGAAAAACAAAACAATCAACAGCAGCAACAACAAAAAAGACAATAACAAGATAAAAGAAATGAGTGCGGAGTCTATGGCGGCTCCGGAGGGCCGCTCCGGAGGTAGTTGCTGAGTCCTAACACTGGTTTTTTTGGCCTGAGGGAGCGGAATTGTGCAGTGACAAGAGAGAATAGTTCAGCACATGGACTCTCTCCCCCCCCCCTTTACACAGAGCTCTCATCCAGTTTTTCTACCAGCTGGGTGTGTTTCCGCTTCTCCAGAATTTTGCTCAGCTCCTCAGTGAAAGAGTTGTACAGCGGTGAAGTACATGGCTCCTCGTTCTGCCGCAGGAGCATGTAGCTGTTGCCATTCATTTTGCGCAGCATGTTGGGTAATGTTGAAATGCCATTGGTGAACTCAGCAGGGAGAGGGGGAGGGGGAGGAGGGAGAGCCAGAGGTGTCACTTTGGGTGACAGTGACAAGGTAGGGGCTTCTCCGGGGATGATCTGAAGGCAGCCATCTGGATAGGTGCTCAGCTCCTCTTCATCCTGCCTTCCTTTGCTCAGGCAATTTGAAGAAACAGTCTGCAGTTCTACACTTGATGGTTGGGGACCCCCCAGTTGATATTTGCCTCTACGACTCTGCAAGCAGCAGATATAGGAAAGCACAACAATGAGCACGAAGCATAATCCACTCAGCACTGTGATGATCACAATGTAGATAAAGTTCAAGTTCCCAGCATCATCTCTGGCCAAATGCCAAGACGGGAGAGCTGGAGTGCTGGGCTGCTGTGGCCCCAGTTCTTTGGGCAGCACAGTTAGAGCGTAGGTAGCTACCAAGGCCTGCAGACCATTCTCCTCAGCGTAGCACTGGTATTCCCCACTATATTCAAGCTGTGTGTCTGTCACCAACAATCCATCTACGCCTAAGCGGAAATGTCCTTGCCCATCCTCAGCAAGCACTTTGGTGCCATTCACCCTCCAAGTCGCCCGTGCCAAGTTGGATGTTTGTTCACAAGGCAAGAGCACATCACCACCACGCGGCACTGTCCGGTTCTTCCGCACAAGCATAGCTGTAAGAGACAAAATAACAGACAAGGGCTCTCTCACTATCCAACTTCTGTTATAATAATTCAAGTGTCAGCACACAGTGTCACTTTAATAGTACGGAAGAGGGGTTTGGGACTCTCAATCTGAAGGAAGTAAGATTCCAAGTGCTCAGGTAAGAATGAAAACTTCAAAACTCTGAAAATATGGTTTAAAAACAAATTAACC